GTTCAACATGTAAGAAGTAGAAAGTACAGGTATTTGAGTTCAACATGTAAGAAGTAGAAAGTACAGGTATTTGAGTTCAACATGTAAGAAGTCAAAGTAAAAAGTCGTCAGAAAAATAAGTAGTGGTACTACTAAAAATGTACTTAAGTACAGTAACAAAGTATTTGTACTTCCCACCTCTGGCGTTTTCTAATATCAAAAATGATGCCTTAATATTATATTTTTGCTGTTCCTTTCCTCAGGGATCACCACGGTGCTGACCATGACCACGATCAACACCCACTTGAGAGAAACTCTGCCCAAGATCCCGTACGTCAAGGCCATCGACATGTACCTGATGGGCTGCTTCGTCATGGTCTTCCTCGCCCTGCTGGAGTACGCTTTCGTCAACTACATATTTTTCGGGAGGGGTCCCCAGATGCAGAAAAAGCTAGCGGAGAAGGCGGAGAAAGCTAACAACGAGAAGGCGGCTAAGTACGACGCTGCGAGGGTGAGTTTGGATATCCGATTGGACGTTTGAGAAACGATAGACAAGGATAAATGGATTTAAGATTAAAGTAAATGCTTCTTTCTCCAAGTATTTCCCTCTCCATCGTGGAGCCAGACTCTGATTTCCCTTATGCTCTACTACTGCACTTCGTATTGAACCATTAGCAATAATTAAGAAAACAGAACCAGAGGAACCCAACCAGCAAGCAAGGAGCATAAAGTGTCACTGTATGATCTTTTACTCTACATGTCTAACCCTTTTTAACCCATGCACCTGCCATTTTTGAAGACCTTGGTAGTATTTCAGGTTATAAATTACATACCATTGTAGTATAACTAATTCAATACACGGGTGGTTTAAATATTTGGTTATTTCCACAGCTGCAGCGCAACACGTTCTTCTCCCTCCCAACAGCCTTGACTCTGCAAATATTTCCGAATGAAGTGTTTTGTCAGCTCTCGGTAGCCTAAGCAGCAAGATCTTCTGCAAAATGCCACTGTATGACATTATGAGAGGCATCTGTATCTGCGACGAATCGAAATATGTTGGGTTGAAAAGCTATTTTCAGGTATTTGTTCCCCACATGTGGCTGAATATTCTCCTCTCCTCAGGAGGCAGGTAGTAGGACCGCATCCCTAAAGCGGTCCAATCAGATTAAAGGTCTTCGCCACTCACGCTCGGTGAGTTGCTTCGTTCAGTGAGACTCAAAATCTTCGAGTCAACTCTGCCATTGCCATCAGCTGACATGGATGTTTTTATTTATATTCCCGCCATCCATGGAATGAGTCAAGCGACAACAGACATCTTCATGACATTGCCATAATCTCAGGAGTGTCCATTTTGACTTCTTCATCGCCGTTTTTAGCACATTGAAACGACGCTCTTGCTTGAATGCTCTGTCAAATGTGTGTTTGGTGTTTCAGATATGAACCTGTTTCTCCTTTCAGAGGTCATCCTGAACGCATGCTTTCATACATCATTGAAGCCACATTTCTCACACAGCTTCTATACATTAGAGCGACACATCGCGCATGTCAGGATGTGGTTTAAAAAGTGACATGTGGGACTTTTACAGTTACGGCTACGTTTGCATGAATGATTGCCGTTGTCCATGAATGTTGATTTGTTTCGTGGTGCACACATCGTAGGCATGGAGTCTGATGTGTGTCCTCTGTGTTTGATTAAATTGTTGAAAGTGATGGTGTGGACTTATATTGCTTAAGTCCGAGGGAAAACTATTCCTCACGTGCTACGGCGGGAAATGTCCTCAGGTTGACACCGAAGATCACACCTGTCAAGTCAGGAGCGAGGGCAAAGCATGCACTGAGGATACTGTAGAAATAAAATGTCCTAATGGTCCAAAAACAGAGCCATGGAAGGATTTTGATGCAATGGGCCCCGGGCTAGTTTTCGTTTCGCCTTTCTCTGCCTCTTTGTGTAGACGTTTTGACCTTCTTTGTACTGTAGATATTTTGCGTCTCATTGCGCCTTTTTGTATCGTAGTCCTTTTGTGTGTGTTTGTAAATGTTTTGCGTCTCCTTATAGATGGTTTGAGTCTCTGTGGATGTTCTGTGTCTCTTTGTTTCTCCCTGTGTCAGCTGTTAGAGACTAAACTCCCAGGTCTGTGCCCGGTCGGCCCATTCAGTAATCCTTCCATGATGACATACACATTTCATGGTCTTGAACACACTGAGGGAATAGTGCCTGATCACTTCAGGTGGAGTCCTCTCCAGCTGTTCCATTTATTTGCTCATGATGTTGTTAATTAGTTTTTCTCATTTCTTTATCCATTCAGGCGGAAGCTCACGGCCACGGGAACATCCTGCTCACCACCCTGGAGATCCATAACGAGGTGGTGGGAGGCGAGATCACCACCAGCCTGGCGGACATTAGAAACTCTCAGTCTATGGTGCAGTTGGACAGCCAAGCCTCGTCGCACATCCAGTACCGAAAGCAGAGCGGAGGCATCGGGCCGCGCTCCGCCAGCCGACACTCCCTGGACCGCGCCGCGCAGATCAAACGCAGTCGTCTGCGCAGGCGGTCCTCGCAGCTCAAAATCAAAATCCCCGACCTGACGGATGTGAACGCCATCGATCGCTGGTCACGGATCATCTTCCCCTCCGTTTTCTCACTGTTCAACCTCATCTACTGGCTCTACTATGTCTGATTGGACTGTTTTGTTTGATATGTTTGTTGTTGTTTTTATTTTCATCTTAATCTTCCTTTTTTTCTGTTGCTTTTATACATGATGGCATCTGTCGAGGTAAAGACTGCAACACAGGACAAAAAGAAAAACTGACTGAGAGAGAAAACTGAGTTTTGGACCAAGTTCTTGTCAAAATTGTTTTTATATTTGCAGTCTTTGAATCCTTAGTACCATCGTCTTTTTACTTTCTAAAGTATGTACTGTAATTGGGACTTGTGACAGTCATTTCCCAACATGTGCGCTCTCAGTAATGTGTAAATAGAGAGATACAAAGCCAGCAATTGAATACATATATTTCAGTATTTGCAAAAACCCAATAGAAGTTAACAAAATGATTTTTTCTAATTAAATATAATTAAGAATACTTTATACACAGGTGGTCAGATAAATGCAGGCAATTCCTAAAAGTCCATTAAACAAACTAATGTATGTTTGACTGGTACCCTATGCACTATTAATGCATGTAATGATCAACCATAGTGGGAAAACAATGACTTTTGCCTTGGATTTTGACACAACTTTACAGAAGACTCTGTGGATTTGTATTTGTTTATAGCGTTGATTATATACTTGCTAATGTCATGCAATGATCTGGTAAACTTTACCCAAACACAATTATTTAAAGTGGAGGACTTTCTCCTCCGTTCAGGATGACTGAGACTCAGGTTCTGAATCTTTTGCTATTTGACATCTTGTCACTGAAATATCCTTTTTTGGTCATTTGATAAGGAAACAAAAGCACAAATAAGAATAAAACTGCCATTTTTCACTTTGACCTTCGAGCAACAGCGCTTCAAGTGATAGCATGACAGAATTGCACTCAAATTTAAATACTTCCTCTGAAAAAAAAACATCTTACTTTAATTTACAACAACTGCCAAGGGCCTTTTGGGCGACACGGTTCCTCAACCCATGAGATATTATGATATTTTTGTACTCTGTGTCTTCAGGTATTCGATTGATTTTCCTATCCCGTGTTTTATTTATATTTTTGCTCGACAACGTTGTGGTGAAAGAGTGGAGGAATGAAACCATTTATTTTGTAAATAAGTACATAATTGTGTATATACATAAGTGTATATATACTGTGTGTACAACCCTGAATTGAAAATGATATGAGCATTTTGTGATTGTCGTTCTGGCTTTAAACCGTCAGAGCATTTAATGGTAAGAAAAAAGACCAAAAAAACGAATTCACCAACAGCTTCAAGCATCACTTAGTTTTTGTGGGGCACTCTGAATATCTTCTCAAACATCCGACATTGTTGAAGTCTGCTATAGAAACTGCGTATGTTCACCCTGCATTTCAGAGTTACTGTACGCTCCGTTATACAGCAGCACACCCATTTGGATTTCATTGATTTGCAGACTTATTGTCGACTAATAAGCACATACTAGCGCTGAATGTATCAGGTCCATTCTTCAGGGAGAGGATAATGAGCCATGGTCATCACTTCTCCATCAGAATGTAACACGCCCATTCTTACGAGTGTTGTCGAAACAGAGGGGAGGGATTTTAAGAGTGTGTGCATGTGCATGTGTGTATGAGAGAGAGATGGGGAATGGATAAGGAGAGCTTGAGATAGGAAGGGCGTGGGTAGACCATATATTTTCTGTGCTGCTTGCTCGACTGTGGACAAATGTCAACGTGTAATAGTTTTGTGGATAAAAATAGCTCTCCTGTCCCACTCCTTTTGATAAACTGTGTGCCATTCCACCTAAGGTCGCAGAGCAATCACCCATAACCCATGGACGATGATGTACATTTGTCATAGATACAGTTACATACAGTGTACGAGAACACGTGAAAACATTCCTACTTGATAAGTTCAGCGATGGGGTCAATTTATCAAACAGATTGTAAAGTTGTATGTGTACAGACGGATTGATATATGACTTAGAACTGAATGTATTGTACTTGGATTGTTGCTTCACAAATGCAATTTTCTTTCTGGAAACAGGATTGACCTCAACTCTGATTAATTAGGGCTTTAGTTGATTCCCATTCGAGCGACCCCGAGTTTATCGCTGGTGACTGCCCTGTTTTCTACTGTGTAGACGGGGCGCAGTGCACAAAGGACCTGGGTCCAAGAAAGAAGAAAGCGACATTATTAAATAAAAACATTCTATATATTATAAGCCAAAACACTTTGCGAAAGGTGTGTTCAGAAGAGTGTTCACCTTGCGTACAACTTTGTGTTTATTCGCCCAAAACCGCCAATGTATCGTTCACGGTCAGTTAGCTAGAAATGGACGATCTTTCATTTACTTCCCTCTCGTCTCAGAATTGTTTCGTTCTGTCTGAACACACAGCAAAAGAGTTTGTTTGACAAAAGCACAAAGCAATGTTTCTTGATCTCATGCATTCACGCTTGTTACGGCATTGGAAGCTGTTTGTCCAAAAAGCCAAGCGAGGAAGAACGTCCGAATTGAATTTCACAACAGTTCAGCTTCAGTGCTGTGTAAATAAGATATAATAATAATAATACAGATTTCTGAAACACTGAAGCTAGAAAATAACTGTTTTACTTCCTGGCTTTTACTGCTTCACTTTGATTTAATCAATTACTTTAGTCTGCAGCTGTACGAGTCGTTATTTTAATTACCGAACAACAGCCTGCAGGTGAAAGAGAGGAGGAGACGGAAACTCTTGATACTTGTTTATCATGCATGCAACGACAATTCGTGACTTTAAAAAAATAAAACTCACTCATGAGAGCTGCCAACTGCTCATTTTAGAAATATAATGCCATGTGAGCCTACGATAAAAAGTTAAAAAAAGCAACAAAAAAAAGAGTCATCAAAGACTTCAGGTGTTGTATGGCCTTGGTCCCATATTGGAATGTGAAATGTTCTGTGCTGCCACAAAATGTATTTAGGCTTAGATTTCTACCGTATATCTCTGTGTGTTTCTCTTCCTTTTTCAATAGATTATCATGTTAAACCATCAAATAAATTATATACATTGTTCCTGTGTATTTGGTATTGCGAGCATGCATGACACTGTAAATAATCTGTACACGTAGAGCAAGACACAATGAACAGCCATTTTGAATAGCATTTTGATATGCCTGTACATATCCCAATATATTTGGAGAATGTCCCAACTCTTCAGGTGCCCTTGAGCAAGGCACTGTCTTGAACCCTTTCTGTTTCAGTGCAACTACACAGAAGACGTTTCACTCGACTCCCAGTTGGACATCTTTTGTGTATGAAGTGAACTTTCTCAATGTGTGCCAGAGTGTTGGTGAAAAAGAGTACATTAGTTCCCCGGATAAATAAAGATTGGACAAGAAAGACACTTTGGAGTCGGAGGTTATTATTCAGCATCGTGTTATTCACCCCACTCAAGTGCCACGAGGTGTTTAATTCGCTTAGAGACTAGGTGGTGATATGAAAAGTTAATATCAAGTTGTAACAAGATCAGCTCAAGCATAAGCATCTTACATTCAACCAATCAGATTATGTGAGTCTCCAGAGAAGTACTATCCTGGAGAAAATGACATATCAACTTTAATTTCCACGTCTCCTCTCCTCGTTTATAGCCTCTTTAGAGAAGTTAGCAGAGTGTAATGTGAACCTGCAAAGACGGTTTCCTGCTTTAAAGCTAATGAATATAATGAGGCCATTAGAAGGAGGTCAGAGCTACCCAAAGGGACCCACACAGAACTATTTTTGATACCATCAACACAACATCTACACAGAGCATGAGAAATAAAATAAGGTGTTGTAATGTCATTTTTGGTAGTAGTCTGTTATCACTTTAAAGATTGGGCACTTTCATTCTTGCAAGATGCTTAGCAAAGCAAATAATGCTAATCTACCCAACCCTGCAGATGCAGTATATCTACACATACTGGGTTAACTATAGTTACTGTAAATAATACATTGCATGTAATTAACTGAGCTGGGTGAACGCAAGTAATCCAAGCAATGCCATTCATTAAGGGTGAGTCGAATAACGTAGTCTCTATGGGACCATTCGTAAAGAAGTACAACTGGAAACAACTGCAGTGGGATTAACGTTAGCTGTGTGTCACAATGAGTTGACATTTCTTGACAAATCAAGGAGCCCGAAACAGAGGAGAGGAATCCAACGATACATGTCAGCACTAACAGGAAGTGAGATGATACAAGGTTTATTAGTGCTAACAAGTAGCTTGAAGGTCTGTAAAGTGTTAAATCTTAAAAGTAAGTAGTCACTGTGGTGCGGCAAACATGCGTCTTAATTAAAAGGTGATGTGAAGAGATTCTGCAGCCTTTGAAGCTCCGACTTTATCCTTATGTAACTCCACTGACTGTACCAGCACTGTCAACAAAGACAATGCAAAAAAACATTTACAAAAGGAATATTATGGCAAACTTTCTAACACATAAAGAAACTCCAAACCTTCACATCTTCAACAGAACTCTTGCATTATGAACTCTTGGTCTCTAAGATCATAATCAAGCACTTTACTCCAGTGAATGAACTTCATTTCCTCCACACTTGGAAATATAGGACAGGGCTTTTTGAGCATAAGGAATCCAAAAGTTGCTATATATCCAAAAGTAAGGTGAAAAAAGTACTTAGCCACAGTTAGCATGAATCTAAGATGCATGATGTGGGTGGAAATAAAGTAATTGAATATACTAATTAATATTAATATATAATCAGTCTCAGGTAGAGGACGTATCATCGGCCATATAATACTATTTAATATGCATAACGTCTTTAAGAAAATGCTGAGCTTTGCTTCCCAGTCCCCCCATGCTTCTCCACAATATATGAGTCCCTTGGGGTACGCGTGAAATATTTGTAATCTCTTTCCTTTATAATGTAAAGGGGGTTCTTACCCCAAGGTACACTGCGCCGTTAATCATTTAACTAATCATTAAAGAATATCATCGTTCAGCAGTTTGAGGGGGGCTGTTGTTGATAACAAGGCACACGTATAGAGCATGCCACTGTTATGGCAGTTATAATGTGCTATAATGAGGCCGAGACAATCATAAGGGTTAAAGGGGAACACAAGGCCAGTTATTGGATAATCAAGCCAGAATGATGGCTTTGTAGGCAGAGCTATGTTGGATGGGCTTTCAAATAACATGTTCTGTCACTACGTGCGGTACATCAAATTCAAAGAAACCAAAGTGTTGGAGCTATATATATCTTTATATTATTTAATAGTTTAACATTTATTTGTTGCCGTTTATAGTGTTTATTATTATTATTATTATCATCATTTATTTATATGTATTCTTAGTTAGTGTCATAAGTTAAAGTAGTTTCTATGCTTTTATTTTGAAGGCATGTTTTGGGCTCTGGGCGATTAGAGCACATGGTGTAATTGTATATTGGAGACAGGTGGGTGGTGGGAGCCAGAGCACTAGGAGGCAAACGGTTTTTTAGCAGGGTTTTCCAACCACAAGAAAGGAAAGCCATAGGAAAGGCTTAAAGGAACCAACCATAGGAAACCTGTTCATTGTCAATGATATTGGATCATAATAAATGCACAACGGAGAATCTTGTCTGGACCTGGATCATTGCCCTGCGTAAGATCTGCTAACCTCAGCGGCTGTATTATTTTAAGTTAATTATCTGTTTTATTTCTATATGATTTTGGCCGCTACACAAAGTGAAGATTTGAGTTCTTCTGCTGTCAAACTGTTTCTAGCACACCAGGTCCCCAGATCATCTCCGCACTCAGTTTTTGGAGAGGGGAGAAAAGTACAGCACACTCCTACTCTTCAACTTTGTCAGGTTCGGTTGGAAAAACCTCCATCAGACCTGATTTGAGAACGTCCACACAGATGGATAATGCATTTCAGTTCATATCAAAGCTTACAGTCCTGTCCGTTTCTCAGGAGCTCAATAACAGAGATATTGATAGATGACCTCGAGTAAACAAGATGCCAAGCCACTAATAAAAACCACTCGAGAGGGCCGTGAAGCAAAAGTCAACTAAAGGTTATCGACACAAAAGACACAACATTATTTTTTACAAGCAGCATCACTCATTTTGATCTCATCGACTCGGTCTGGATCCTGAAGCTTTAAAAAAGGAACAAGCTGTTCACACATTAGTTAAAAATATCGCAATGGATAACTAGACGGATAAAAGGGCATAGCCTCTGGGCTTGACATCATTTTCTGGCAGTGCAAAGGATCCGGATCTGAATAATTGCTCAAAGAGTTATGATGGTGCGCAGATATTAAGGGTGATGAATATTGTCAAAACTATACACGGATCATGGTTCTTCATTTTCAGGCAATAAGCATCAAAAGGTTTTAATGGGTGGGGGGGTGGAGTGAGAGGCGTTGTTAGGCGTGAGCTGCTCTGAAGCTCTGTGGTGAATGACTTATTGCTTTCATAAAAGTGCAGCGAAAAGAATATGAATATTTAATTATTGTTATTTCTTTGTTTCTTGTGATTAGAAGCTGAATCTCTCCAACGGGGACATGGGGTCGCAACACAAGCTAATATTATATAATACAACAAAGAGAAATTAACAAAAAGAACATGCAGGACCAAAGATATGTTTATTTTATGAAATATTCTTCCCACAAGCAATGTACTATTAACAGAGGGTAGACAAGGCCAAGGGCCGTCAGCATGCTGGCAACTTTAGAGCGGCCTAAACACGTGTTGCTTAGAGCTAAATGCTAACATGTCGGTTATGTTACCATCTTAGTTTATCACCTGAGCATGCTAACATTCATTTATAAGCACTGTCACAAACCAAAGAGGAACTTCTCAGCAGGAAACCGATGGACTGTCCACTCCAAGTAGGGAATGAGTCCTTACCCCAAGTGAAGGAGTTCAAGTATCTCTGGGTCTTGTTCTCGAGTGAGGGAACAATGGAGCGTGAGATGGGCCGGAGAATCGGAGCAGCGGGATAAGGTGAGAAGTTCGGTCATCCGGGAGGGACTCGGAGTTGAACCGCTCCTCCTTCGCGTCGAAAGGAGCCAGTTGAGGTGGTTCGGGCACCTAGTTAGGATGCCACCTGGGCGCCTCCCTAGGAAGGTGTTCCAGGCACGTCCAGCTGGGAAGAGACCGAGGGGTAGACCTAGGACCAGGTGGAGGGATTATATCTCTTCTCTGGCCTGGGAGCGCCTTGGGATCCCCCAGTCAGAGCTGGTTGATGTGGCCAGGGAAAAGAAAGTTTGGGGCTCTCTACTGGAACTGCTACCTCCGCGACCCGACCACGGATAAGCGGGAGAAGATGGATGGATGGGACAAACCAAAGAATGATATAAATTGAGATGTTGACATAGTAGCGTTAACTAAAAAGTCAGGGGGTCTCTTCCTTTCTCCGTTTCTGGTGATAGTCTGCTAGTACTTTTTGTAATTGGTCCAAAAATTGTGAACCATCACAAAGATTAAGTTGATAGCCAAGGAGTCATGGAAAATGGCTTTTAAGAGTCGTAGAAATGGAAACTTTGATACAAGAGGCGCGTTCACACCAAGTACTTTTCCCACAAAGGATCCTGAGAACTACGATTTAGTTGCGTTCACACCAAAAAGTCCCAGGAACTAAATTAGTTCTAGAGAACCTTTTTTACCCCCTTTTCAGTCCCTGCTAGAGAGCAGGGACTTTCATGGGAGAAAAAGGTTCCTGTGTCTGATTGGCTGGGCGGAATGCAAACCACGACCCGTCAAAACTCCCAAAAACGTTTGT